ATTCATCGGCGGAAATTGATTCGTCGGGGTTTTCCATGGAGAAGATCAGAGAGGCAGAAACGACTGGCGGTGATTGTGAAAAAGTGGCTCCACTTTTGATAGTTGGGATTTTTGAGATCTGGGATGACGGGGATGAGAGATTTGATATTGAAGATGGTATGAGCAAAGTGGACGGGATTGAGAGGGGCGGCGGAGAGAGTAGCTTCGTCACCGGTCATGGAGAAGAAGAGAGGCGGTGGCAGCTGAGTGGAGCGTGATGGTGACGACTAGGTTAACCTAGTGTCTGATACCATATAGGAACAATAGAATTGGAGAAAGAGAGAGTTATGTCTCTCACGTATATTACTCATATATATAGTTACATGTAGGAAACCCTAACCTATTACACAAGATAACTAAGAGATATACATGGCAAGATTACAAGATATATATATATATATATATATATATATATATATATATATATATATATATATACATGATTTGTCTAGAGTGAGATCCCAGCAACACAACTTATATGAGATATGTTGTGTATTGTCTAAAACATCCTTCTTACCAATATTTAATATTTAAAAACAAAATAATGAATTTTATGCGAATTGTGTTTGAATTTATTTATTGCAGTGTATTTTGTACCCCTTGTACTTTTATAAATTTTAAATCTATTTATTGTTGAATTTGTAAAGTTAATTATATCTTTATTCTTAAAAATCATTAAACCACTCGTCCAAAAGTGCATTCGAACTTCTAACCCCCTTAAAACATACAAGAATATTTACCATTAGGACACAACACATTATTTAAAATTACCTAACAATAAGCATATATATCACAACACTACAGTGTATAATAGGTATAAAACTTATATAAATAATGTTAAAAAATTACTAATTCTCATATAATTATTATTATTATATATTAAAAATATCCAATATTAACATATTTATGTATAATAAATTTAAAAAATTTAAGGAAATGCGGATCAACTCGTGTTATTTAAAAATGAATTTCCAAGGAATTTGAAGTTTGAATTGAATCTTAAATCGTAATATTTGAATCAATTCAGCTCATGTGTTTTCAATTCGAAAACAATACTCAAAGATTTGAAACGATTAAACTCAAGTCATTTCAATTCATAGATAATATTAAATATTTGAATCGGTTAAACTCAAAAATTTTCAATAGCGTATTAATCGAAGTAACTATGTATTGTTAAAGTTAAATATCTTTTTTTTTATTATTAAATTATATCATAAAAAGAATAAAATTTAATTTGTACAAATCGTAAGATTTAATCGATTCAAATATTATAGTTAGATTAAATCTTACGTTTACGATTTGATTCTTACAATGTATACGAATTAATTTTGTTTTTTATTAAATTGAATAAAAAGGATATTAGACTTTGATTATAAATAGTTAACTCGATTAATACGTTCTTGTCAATGGTTGAACTTAATCGATTCAAATCTTTGAAACACATTTACAAATTGAACGGACTTGAGCTTAATCGATTCAAGACTTACGATTTGATTGTTACGTATGTTAGGAATTAAATTTATTATTTTTATGATAAAATAGAATTAAAAAGATATTAGACCTTAATTATAAATAGTTACTTCAATTTATACATTCTTGTAAATTATTAAGCTTCATTGATTTAAATCTTTGATTAATGTTTACTAACTAAAAAGATTTGAGTAGCTTAATCAATCTCATCTTACTATTTGATTAAACTAAATATTAAAAGAAAAATCCCAATATAATATTTTGAGTATATCGTTATATATTAAAGTAAGAAAACTAATTGGAATGAGTTACAATCTTTTTTTTTTTCTAAATAAACATCTTATTTTATTTTTTATTCAAATTTGTAACACTATCGATTTAATAACCTACGTGAGTTTGTATTAAGTCATGCATTTGTTTATATTTAATTGAGTATTCTTTATATTTTTCAATAGTGAAGTTTATTAATTTATATAACTAATATTAGATGTTTGGGGATATTGAACCGCAATTCTTTATTTTTTTTTTAAATTTGTTAATAATTTATTTAAAATTATTTAAAAATAATGAATGTCGCATTTAATATTCTATTTAACATTATTTACATACTTATATTTATTATCACTTTACATTGTGTATTGCCAATATATAAAAGGGGAAATTTGCTAGACACCCCTTATTTTGGACTTATATAGGTAGAGATCCTAGTTGTTAGATGAATATAGGCATAGGTCCTTTGACCAATAAATTAATATAAATAAATTAAAATAATTAGTATATATACATAAATACCTCCAATTAATAAGAAAACAAATCTTATATATCCTCTCTCTCCAATCTCACGTTAATCTCCCCTATATTTAATTCCTCATCTATCTCTTCTTCTGCATCTCCATTCCTCACGCCTCTCTCTCTCTCTGTCTCGTGTTTTTTTTTTTTTTCTTTTTCTTTTTTTAATGAAGAAATATTCTAGAGAAGGAAAAAACAAGAATCTTTTTAGATTATGAGATGATTTCTTGGTGAAATAATTAAAGAGGACAACAAACATCCCCTCAAAAAAAAATTTAGAAATCCAAAATCATAGCCAAAATTCACATTGTGTCTCCCGTACGTAGAACCTTCCCATCGTTTTTGTTGTTAGCGATTTCCGTTTCCAGGTTGGTTTAACTTCGTTTGTTGTTTGAATAATTGCGTTTGATGTTGAGATTCGATTACTCGGGTTTACAATTTGCAAGGTATGGCTTAAGTTACATTGTACAAATATTTTGTTTAATGTTATTGTTGTTTGCAAATTGTTCCATAAACAATTTTTTGGTTGATGTTTTTAGTGATGCTGATTTTTTTTATTTTTTTTCAGTTTGTTGTTTGCATTTGGCTAATTATAGGTAGTTTCTTGCTTGCAATTCAATAATGCAAGTTTTGATTTAATGTTTTTCTTCAGTTTGCTGTTTGCATTTGGCGAAGTCATAGGTAATTTTTTGTTTGTAATTCAGTTATACAAATTATGGATTTTGTTTTTTCAGTTTGCTGTTTGCATTTGGCGAAATCATAGGTATTTTATTGTTTGCAATTCAATAATATAAAATCTAATTTTCAGTTTGCTATTTGCAGTTCGCGGAGTCATACGCGTCGCAGTTCCCGGATCATAGGCGGTGGTGGAGATGCGGTGGCGTTTTTAGAGTATGAGTTTGTAAAATAAATTGTATATTTTTATTATGAATTTATTTATTTGTTTTAGTTAATATTTGGAAGAGATATGTTTGGAAATTTGTTTTGATAGAGAGATTTTTTGGGATTTAATTTGATTTAATTAAGGGTATTTTTGCCATAATAAATATTTTTAATTTATTAAAACATTAAATTTTGACTTGGATTTATACACATAAATTATAATATAGAGGGACCTATAGCAAATTACCCCTATATAAAATGATTGTTAGATTTATAAAAAAAAAAAAAATAATGTGTGCCAATAGTTAAGTAGTATTGAATGTAGTGAAAGGTCTCAATTCAATTATCAACTAATGCATTTTTGGGCAATTATTATTCATCAAATGAAATTGGGTCACAGAGTTGACCCGACTTCATCAAATGAAACTCGGTCCAACTAACTGAGTTAACCTGACTCGAATCTTTAAAACATAATTAAATTAATTATTTACTAAAATCTAATAGTGAGCTCGGAGACCAGCGCCATCTTAGCTCACGCAATTATTTCACTTCCATCAAGCCCATTTATATGCGTTCAGCTAGACACGGGCCGGGTCGGGTCTGAGTCAGACCCACGGGGTTCGGATCCTACTTTTTGGGGACCCGAAACCGACCCGTGTGGAGGCGAGTCTAGGACTGGGTCGGGTTCACAGGGGTTCTTCCGGGTCCAAACTTGGTCTTTTAAATTTTTTTTTAATCTTGACCGTTGGAAAAATAAAATTTGAATTCAGTTAGACCGGATTCGGGTCGGTTCCGGGTGGACCCGAGTTTCTAGCCGTTGAAAATAAAATAAAAAAAATTAAAAATTGAATTTACGGACCAGGTCCGGGTCCGGGTCAGGCCGCTGCATTTTCAAAATTAAAAAAAAAAACATATTTTATTTGGGTGGACCCGACGGGTCCTCGGATCCCCTGCGGGGTTGACCCGTCGGGTCTCGGGTCCAATAAATCAAGACCCAACACTACAAAAAAAAACATTTTATGTGACGAAAAATTTTGTCGCAAAAACCTAAACTTTCGTCACAGAAACGTTTATGTGACAAATTATTTCGTCGCAGCGTTCGTCGCGTAGGGCCTGTCGCGAAAGGTGTTATGTGACAAACGACTGTATTGTCACCAAAGACTGTGACGAAATTACATTTTGTCACATAGTTGTATGTTTTTGCGACGACATGTTCGTCACATAAACAAATTAAATTTGTCATATCAGGCTTATTTCGTCACAGTAGGTACTCATTTAACTTGCTTATTGTGACAAATTATTTCGTCACATGAACTACAAGATCTAATGAGACAAAAAAATTGTCCCTTAAACTGCATTTTTATAATGTAAAATTTACGTGACAACATAATTTATCATATAATAAATACCCATTTTATTTTTTACTTTTCTAATATACAAAAATAATATAAGTAAACTTTATTGAACTACAGAATTATTCTGAAATTAAAAATACTTATATTGCAATATGTAGTACTATCACACTTACAAAAAACTTCACATTCTAGATTACATATCAAAAGCTATAAAATGCAAATAAATTCTTCCCATTGGCCTTTCTTTGTGGCCGTAGTTTGACCCATAATTCATTTTCTTTGTTGCAGCTCTATTTCCACACACACACACACACACACACATATATATATATATATATATATATATATATATATATATATATATATATATATATATATATATATATATATATATATATATATATATATATATATATATATATATATATATATATATATATATATATATGTGTGTGTGTGTGTGTGTGTGTGTGTGTGTGTGTGTCTTACCAGCAAGATCGACAACTAAGTTAGCTTGAGCATCAGCTAGCCTCGGAGTTTAAGTCCTTACATAACACATAACGTATGTATATAAGATGTTAGTTAAAAGACTGGTGATGTGAATAGTGGATGTAACGAGAAATTCATGCAAGAATTAAAGATTAGCGGAAATAAATAAATAAATAATTCCGAGGCTTACCCATAGAACGTGCATGATTTGGAACTTACTAAAACTACCCATCAATTTCTTTGCCTCGTCGTACAAGAAGGAAATACTTTGGTTTTTAACCTTCCACGCCCTGAACCTGTCCATGAAACCATTGCTTAGAAATAAAATTGGTAATAAAAAGATCAAATGTATAGTAACTGTTTGAAAAAAGAATATTTGACGAACATGCATCAGACAAGTCGTAGATGTTAAAAAATTTGTTTCTGAAAATTAAATTTAATAGACACTTAGAGTAGATGTTGTGAATCTAATGTGATTTTATGTTTTCGTTATTTTCAGAGGGAAAAAAATAAATATTTGATAATTGATTTTTTTTAAAGCCGTTCTACAGAAGATGACTCTGCAAAGAGGGGTAAAACATGCAATTCATGGATACCAAACTTGATTTCAAATATCAAAACACCCTTACATCATTTTTTTATAGGCGATTTTAGAAAACCTAATTTAATTCCAAACCTAAAATCACTTGAATAGTGTCAAGATTCACAGATATAATAATATTTGTTTATTGTAATTTATGATAATATGTGTAATTGTTGTATTAATTGAAGAGTATGAGATGAGAATAGAAAGACTTGGGAAGAAAGAAAGTAAGAAAGGAAAGGATTGGTAAAACTTTTCATAAAAACATTCCTCAATCCAAATGTGGTATAAATACCCCTTCCACTGCAGGGAGTATTTTCTACCCTAGCCCAATGGCACTAACATCAGCAGAAACTTAAAACGAAATAAACAAAATAGTTATTGGGCTTAAACAAATAAACTGGCCCAATAGAATTAAACAAATAACATAAGTGGGCTACTAAATTCGGCCCTTTCCCCCAGCACTCGGTGCACCCAAAACGACATCGTTTTGTCCTTCAATTTCTTCCTCAATTCCCGATTGTGCAAAGACTCCTCCTTTAGCAATTCTAGGGTTCCCCTTCTTCTTCAGCCCCCAATTCACCTCAACCCCGTCCATCTTCTTCTCTTCCATTCGAACCCTAGGCCCACGTGGTTTCCTTGCACCCCAGGATGTAACATTACCCCCCCCTTGAGACGATTCTTGTCCCCAAGAATCCGAATTAGGCTCCAAATCCGGGAGCTCTGGTGATTCATCTGTTGCTGCAGGTGGAAGCTGGGTGATTGATGCAGTAGGCTTCACGGTTCGCTTCAGCAAGGAAACATGGAAGACATTATGGATCTTCGCGCCCTCAGGTAACAGCAATTTGTATGCCATTCTTCCAATTTTTGCAATAATCGGGTAGGGACCATAGTATTTATTTGCTAATTTCTGGTTGGCTCGGGAAACTACTGAATTCTGTCTGAATGGTTGTAACTTTAAATAGACTTCCTCCCCCACTTCAAATGACCTTTCAATTCTGTGTTTATCTGCATACCATTTCATTCGAGCTTGAGCTTGAGTGAGATTCTGTTTAATTAATCCCCACGCATCTCTCCTCTGTTGTACCATGGTTGTAACCTCTGGATTGATGCTGTCTAAATAAGGACTTAGAGATAGGTTATTAGGGGAATACCCATACAGTGCTTGGAAAGGTGACATCTTGAGGCTGGTGTGATAATTGGTATTATACCAGTACTCAGCCAAAGAGAGCCACTTCATCCATCTGTGAGGGTGCTGGCTAGTACAGCACCTGAGATAATTCTCCAAGCACTGATTTAATCTTTCTGTCTGCCCATCACTCTGAGGATGGTATGCTGAACTCATAGTCAGCTGAGTCCCCAATAATTTGAATAACTCCACCCAGAAACTGCTAGTGAAAACTTTATCCCTGTCAGTGACTAAGCTCACTGGTTGACCATGTAATTTAAAAATGTTATCTAAAAATAGTTTAGCCACAGTAGCTGCACAGAAAGGGTGAGATAATGGCAAAAAATGTGCATACTTGGTAAATCTATCAATAACCACTAGGATAACATTTTTACCCTCAGATTTAGGTAGGCCTTCAATGAAGTCCATAGAGATGTGAGTCCATGCTCCAGTAGGAATTTCCAAAGGTTCCAACAGCCCTGGGTATGGGGTGTTTTCATGTTTTGCCCTATGACAAACATCACAACCTTGTACCCATTCTATAACCTTGGCCTTCATTCCAAGCCAATAGAAAATTCCCTTTAACCTTTGATATGTTCCCAACATACCAGAGTGCCCACCAATTGCTGAATTGTGGAAAAACTCTAGTAATTTAGCCCTCAAGTCTGTATGTGAGCCAACATACACCTTCCCTTTGAACCTCAGTACACCCTGTACCACCCCATAATCCCCATAAGATGTGTCATCAATGGCCTTAGCTGCCATTATTTTGCTGACCTCAGAGTCTCCTTTATAACTCTCTAAAATCTCCAACAACCACTTTGGCTGCACTGTAGACATGTCACTAACACTAGCTGAGTGATGTTCTTGCCTAGATAATGCATCAGCCACCTTATTCTCCACACCTTTCTTATACTGTATCTCATAATCCAACCCAATGAGTTTAGCAATCCACCTCTGTTGGAGGGCAGTTGTGAATTTCTGCTCCACAATGTATTTAATACTTTGTTGGTCTGTTCTGAGGATGAAGTGGTGGCCTTGCAAGTAGTGCTTCCACTTTTGAATAGCAAGAAGAACAGCCATAAATTCCCTCTCATAGATAGATAGGGTTTGATGAGTGGCATTTAGGGCCTTGCTCAAAAATGCAATGGGCTTACTGTCTTGCATCAGTACTGCTCCCAAACCAGTAGAACTGGCATCAGTTTCTACTATAAAGGGTTTGGTGAAGTCAGGCAAAGCAAGGACAGGGGCAGTTGCCATAATCTCCTTGAGTTGTGCAAAGGCCAGCTCAGACTCTGGTGTCCACTTGAACTTTCCCTTTTTAAGCATGTCAGTGAGGGGCTTGCTCACAATCCCATACCCCTGAATGAACTTCCTGTAGTAGCCTGTCAGCCCTAGGAAGCCTCTGAGCCCTTTGACAGTAGTAGGTTTGGGCCAATTCAGCATGCTCTGAACTTTAGTTGGATCAGTGGACACTCCCTGTGCACTGATAATATGGCCCAAATACTCTATGTTAGTCTGTCCAAACTGGCATTTGGATTGCTTGGCATAGAGTTGATGATCCCTCAAGATTGTCAAAGTGGTGTCTAAATGCTCCATATGCTCTTCCAAACTAGAACTGTACACTAGTATATCATCAAAGAATACTAGCAAGAACTTCCTCAAATATCTTGCAAATACCTGATTCATGAGAGATTGGAATGTGGCAGGAGCATTACAGAGCCCAAATGGCATCACCATAAATTCAAAATGGCCATGGTGGGTTTTGAAAGCTGTTTTGTACACATCTTCATCTCTCATTCTAATCTGAAAGTAGCCAGACCTCAGGTCTATTTTTGAAAACCACTTAGCTCCATACAATTCATCTAAAAGCTCATCAATGATTGGTATAGGGTAGTCATGTTTAACTGTCATGGTGTTCAAATACCTATAATCAACACACATCCTCCGTGAATTGTCTTTCTTCTTGACCAGCAAGACAGGAGATGCAAAAGGGCTTTGACTCTGCCTAATAATTCCCCCTCTTAACAGTTCCTCAACAATCTTCTCTATTTCATCTTTGGCAGAATGTGAGTATCTGTAGGGATATAAGTGTTTAGGTAGGGCATCAGGCTTTAGTATGATCTGATGTTCAACCCCCCTTACTGGTGGTAACCCCTGTGGCTCAGCAAACAACCCTTCATATCTCCCCAACAGTCTCTGAATTTTCTCAGGCACAATGACAGTTTCACTGTTAGTCTGAATTGTGCAAAATTGGCCACCTTCTCCAATAGAGTCACCTTCTTCCTTGCCCATTCCAGTGTGTACAGTCAGCAACTTGCCCTCCCCAAAATCCTCCCTAGCAGTAATTACCACCTTCTGATCCCCTCTCTTGAGCTTAACAAACCTCCTTTTGTAATCAAACTTCACAGGACTGTTCTCCCATAACCAATCACATCCCAGAACAATGTGAAATCCTTTGAGGGTCAGCAACCTCAGAGGAAAAGTGAATGGCTCACCCTGCATCATCCAAATTAAGCCATTGACAATCTTTTTGCTAACAGTCTTGGTACCATTTGCCATAGTCACTGTCATAGGATTGGTTTCATCAATGTGGCAGTGGAGTTGGATAGCCAAAACTTCACTAATGAAACTGTGGGTACTTCCTGTATCAATGAGAATGTTGAGAGGTCCCCCTTCTACCTCACCAACCACCTTGATGGTCTTCACACCACTGTTCCCTTCAATGGCATTCAAAGAGACCTCCCCATCACAGTTGATCTCCCTTTTTTCTGGGCTGTCTTCTCCAGCTATGGTGAGTAAATATGTCTCTTCCTCTTCATCAGTCATAATCATATACAACTGGTTAAACTTGCATTTGTGGTTTTGGCTATACTGTTCATCACAGTTGAAGCACAAACCCTTCATTCTTCTGGCCTTCATCTCATCCCTAGTAAGTAGTTTTCTAGGTGGCATGAGAGCTGGTGGAGTGTAGTGTGCTTTGGTTGGTTGATTCTGGTGTAAATCAGAGTTTGAGGGTAGTTTCCTTTGCTGGTTCTGGTATGGCAGCATTGGTTTCATTCCACCTTTAGCCCTTCTGGAAACAGCTTCTAGGGTAGCTTCTTGTTTCCTTGTCATTTCAATAGCATGTTGAAATGATTTGGGTTCAAATAGATCAAAGAATTTCTGATTCTCCTCAGGTAGCCCACTAACAAAGAAGGTCAGGAAGAACTCATCATCATATTCTCTAGTATTGAACATCAACAAATAAGCCCTAAGTTCTTCAAATTTGTCAATGTAAGCCTCCAAAGAGTTTGTAACTCTTAACTTGCCAATCTCAGCTAACACCTTAGCTTCCCTCAGATCCTCAAATCTAGCAGAAACTAAGCCAACAAACTGATCCCAAGAATAAACCCTATTATTCTGTGAGATATGCCCATACCAAATGGCTGCTCTACCCTCAAAATGTAAAGCAGCTAACACCACCTTTTGAGTATCAGGTATGTTAGATACCAATTGAAAATACCCTTGGCACTTAAACAACCAAGTTCTAGGGCTGCTACCATCAAATCTGGGGAATTCAATTTTAGGGTTAGGGTTGTAATTACCAGAAAAAGGATTTGAGTTTACCAACACATCTTGCCCTCTGTTGTTTCTGTATTCTTGAGGCCTGGTGAATTGTTCTGGTTGTGCAGTAAATGGTGTTGGATTTGTGCCTGAAGCAGATCCCTCCCCCATAATGGATTTGTCTCTGTTATACATCTCTATTCTCTCAGCTATTTTGCCCAGCTGAATTTGCATGATTTCAAATGATTTCTTTGTTTCCTCATGATTTAAGCTGATTTGTTCCTGCAGGTTTGTTTCCACAGCCACTCTCTTGTCCATTTCCTCCTGCAGCTTCTGCTCCAATAGTTTCCGGTGTGCTTCCAGTCTGGTGCCGTCCGCCATCAGATCAGACCTTGCTCTGAGTACCAATTGTCAAGATTCACAGATATAATAATATTTGTTTATTGTAATTTATGATAATATGTGTAATTGTTGTATTAATTGAAGAGTATGAGATGAGAATAGAAAGACTTGGGAAGAAAGAAAGTAAGAAAGGAAAGGATTGGTAAAACTTTTCATAAAAACATTCCTCAATCCAAATGTGGTATAAATACCCCTTCCACTGCAGGGAGTATTTTCTACCCTAGCCCAATGGCACTAACATCAGCAGAAACTTAAAACGAAATAAACAAAATAGTTATTGGGCTTAAACAAATAAACTGGCCCAATAGAATTAAACAAATAACATAAGTGGGCTACTAAATTCGGCCCTTTCCCCCAGCACTCGGTGCACCCAAAACGACATCGTTTTGTCCTTCAATTTCTTCCTCAATTCCCGATTGTGCAAAGACTCCTCCTTTAGCAATTCTAGGGTTCCCCTTCTTCTTCAGCCCCCAATTCACCTCAACCCCGTCCATCTTCTTCTCTTCCATTCGAACCCTAGGCCCACGTGGTTTCCTTGCACCCCAGGATGTAACAAATAGGTTTCAAAAATAAAATCATAAACGTGCTTAACTTAATTTTGAGAACATAACTAAATTCTGGCCTTTTTATGCAAATAGCCTAACATTCCATTGAAGAAATGGAGAGAAGAAAACGGGAGAGGTGGAGTTAGAGTGAAGAGGGGAGATGGAGAGAAAAATAAATTAGTAATTATACCTGAATCGATTGAGATTGGCGGTGGCGAAGGCAAACGAACACTGGCGGTGGCGAATGAAAACGAACACGGGAGGTGGTGAAGGCAAACGAACACTGGCGGTGGCGAAGGAAAACGAACACTGGCGGTGGCGAAGGCAAACGAACACTGGCGGTGGCGAAGGCAAACGAACACTGGCGGTGCAACGATGATGGTGGACGCGAAAGCCAGATCGAAGAGCAGATCGCTCGGGTAAAGAAAATGAGAAGGAAAGAGAAGGGGATTTATGAGAGAGAAAAAAAAAGAAAGGGATCGGACTAAGTCTAGAAAATTGGGGGAAGATTTTCTAGTAATAAGTAATTTAGATTATTTGTATGTAGCGACGAAATAATTTTGTCACAACAAAAAAAGAATGTGACGAAATTACTTTGTCATGAGAAACCTAAATATTTGTCGCAAGATAGTGCCCGTCAAATGTTTAAAAATTTTGTATATTCTATTGTGACGGTTTTTCATTATTGTCACATAAAATGAAGTTTATGTGACGAAATTAACCTTCATCACCTAAAATATTCACTTATGTGACAATGTGAAATTTTGTCATAATATCTCCCTTTATTGTGACAAAATTTGATTTTGTCACAAAAGATTGTCACATAAAATACTTTTTTTTGTAGTGCAAAACCGACCCATGTAAAATGGGGTCTGGGTCCAGGTCCAAAGGGTGCGGGTCGGTTCCGGAGCGGGGCGGGTCCAAATCCGGGTCAGGCACGGGTCCAACCCGGTCCGTGGCCGTGTCTAAGTTCATCCCTTACATGCCGAACTGATCCCATCAGAATCACTATGTGCTCATTTTTCCGATGATCAACATCAAGAATAACACATTTTTTAAAATTTTTTTAGTAGTTTCAATATTTTTCATTGAATTGATCGAAAATAAAATTAGATTTTGACTCTCAAAACTGAAATGATGAATGAGAAAACAACAGAGCTGAAATGTTAGTGTTGCAGGAAGATCTACAAATTGCTAAACAATTAGGAAAATATATATAAAATGATGAATGAGAAACAACAGAGCTGAAATGTTAGTGTTGCAGGAAGATCTACAAATTGCTAAACAATTAGAAAAATACATATATATATATATATATATATATATATATATATATATATATATATATATATATATATATATATATATATATATATATATATATATTGAATGTGACTCTATGCTTCTGTGTAATACATTGGCTAATGACCTAAATATCAAATCTTTTATTTAAGGGATTATTAGGGAAAACCCCCTCATATGCATTGTCTCATTAAACTAAATCCTTTTTTTTTCTCCCTTTTTGAGATAACTCCAATTGCATTTTATTTAGTAAATTATATTATTAATAACCTATGTTACCCTTTCTCAAGCTTTTAACCTAATTAAATCCTCCTAAGCCGTAGCGTCTCTCTTTTCTCCTCCATCCCTCTTTTATCCACAACCCACTCCCACATCCACAACCACACCTTCGCAGCCCTACCGGACGACCACACCCACACCCTCGCGGCCCCAGCGAACGACCACACCAACATCCTCGCGGCCCCACCGGACGACCACACCCACACCGTACCCTCGCGGCCCCACCGGACGACCACATCGGAGACCACACCCTCGTCGACCTCCTCATCCTCGGGTATGAGGATCTGTGCTCTTTTATATTTTACATTATATATTATATATATGAAAGAGTTTCTTATGACCGATATTGAATTCTTGTTGCTATGTAGGAATTCTATTGTATGAGATGCTTTATGGATATACGCCATTCAGGGGGAAAATGAGGCAGAAGACCTTTGCAAACATTCTTCACAAGGATTTAATGTTTCCAAGAAGTACAGAGGTGTGCTTTTTTATAGCTATTTTAGATTTTTTATTTTTATTTTTATTCAGCAAGAATAATTTGATTGTGAATCGGAGATTATGAAATAGTAGCAATTCAACGGAGTTTTAATAAACTATGTTTGGGTACATTTTAATAAACTATGGTTGCGTATAGGTTAGTCTCCAAGGGAAGCAGTTAATGCATCGATTGCTACACAGAGATCCCAAAAACAGACTAGGATCACGAGAAGGTGCTAACGAAGTTAAGCAGCATCCCTTCTTCCGTGGTATCAATTGGGCTCTTGTTCGTTGCATGGTAATTAATCAATCGTACGCACTATATTCTCATTATTTATCATTGTAATTTTACTTCAGCGCAATTAAGGAACTAATTTGATTATTAAACATCTTCAGAGCCCTCCCGCGATCGACGCTCCCATTTCCGAGGAGAAAGAAACGAGTGTAGATCCTGGACTAGATGATTTGCAAACGCTCCCATTATCGATTTTGGGGTTCTGGGCAGTGTGGTGAGGGAGATGTTGATTCTCTCGGCTATTTTCCAATTTTCTCGACTTGCATCATCATTTTTTTATAGTGGTTTTCAATAATTATGTACAGATTTTTATAGTGGTTTTCAATATTTTTACATAAACCACTATAAAAATCTGTATAAATAATTATAGTGGTTTTCAATAATTTTTGTACAAATTTTTATATAACTGTATATACCGAGTGATTTTTATGTTGACATAGTTATTATACAGAGTGGTTTTCGTGTTTACATAGTTGTTATACATAGCGGTTTTCATGTTATATAATTACTATACATAGTGGTTTTTATGTTATATAATTGTTATACATAGTGGTTTTCATGTTTATATAGATGTTTATATATAGTGGTTTTTATGTTTATTTAGGGTGTTTTTTTATTTAAAAAAACTGGAAATAAAAAAAAATTATTTTCAAAAGAATTTGAAATTAAGAAAAAAAAAAACCATGAAAAAAAACATAAATAAAACCCTTTTTTTAAGCTAAAATAAAAAACATGAAAAATATAAATAAGAAAAAAAATTTAAAATAAAAAAACGAAGATAAGAAAAATAAAAAAATAATATAATTACAAAATTTTATTTTAAATTGAAATAAAGAAAATCATTAAACAAAATAAAAAAGAAAAAGGAAAAAAAAACTGAATTAGCGTGATGAGGGGAATAATTTTAGGAGAAGATTTGGGTGTAGATTATGGGTATAATTTTTTTAAAATTAAATAGTTATATTAATTAATAATTAGTGGGGGCATATATGGTTTTTCAAGCCCATTGGATTTATCTCAAATATCATTTATAAATAAAGGATTTATCAAGAATTGAAATCCCAATGAAGGGTGTTTGACATATAACCCCTTTATTTAAACAATAGTATGTATTAATTGTGTACTAACTAGACAAAGCTTAAGTGCATAACCTAACAAATTAAGTATGTGCCTCTAAAAATATAGGAGATAGCAAAATAAAACATTAATAAATTGCAAGTTTTGGATCCGACTGGTCACGTGATTGAACCCATACCCGTTTAAATAGTTGCAGCTACAAAAGGAATAAATTATACATGAATCTGAATTTTTGTGGCACAAATGATGATTTTATTCAATACTTGGCAACTTGTGTGACAACTAATTTAATATCGATTGATGATAGTCAATAAATGGGAGGAATTTCTGCAGCACAAGTAATGGAATGTATTACTTATTAATTAATAATTCACTAATTAATTACCTATTTCTACCCTAAACAGGCTAAACATTATACTAGATCCACTTTTTATTTTTCTTAGTTATCTTGATGTATATGTAAATAGGGGTGTTCATTTGGTAATACTGTCGAATTGTACTGAAATTTCAGTATTTCGGTAATTCAAATATTTGTACCAATTCGTACCGAATCCTTTGGCTGGTTCGGTTTTTTACCGAAGTAATTCAGTTTTTTTCGGTTCGGCACGGATAAAATTAAAAATCTATTATGATATTTAAAAAAAACATATTTATAAAACTAACTAATTCTTGAATTTGACATTTAAATTTCAATAATCGACCCTAAAAGCAAAAGGTGATTGATTATCAATGGAGGTAATTTGTAAATAATGAAAAAGATTATCAATCTAAAAGTATTTTATAATTTCTTATAAGCTTACAAAATTTAAAATTAAATTATTTATTGGATACTTATATTTGTTTTTTTATTACAAAGGAGTGAAATATGAGTTGCTAATTGTGGGTTTGGCGTTGGGTGGTAAACTAGTTGAGCCGCTCGTGAGCTCGATGAGCCGGCTCGAAAAAAGCACGTACTCGACCTCGAACTCTGGTTTTTCGAGCTCGAGTTTTTTATTAGTTGTTCGTAAGCCCAAGAGCCGGCTCGCGAGCTTTATTTTTTTATTTTTACATATTATTTTTTATTTAAATAATGTATAATATATATAATATAAAATGAACATGAGCTCGAGCAGAAAAAATAAAAAGAACTCGACGAGCTCGGCTCATTCACACTCCTACTTGACGTAATTAATTATGTATATACTTTTCCTAAGCTTTGATTATAACGAATGAAACAAAACTATTTTAAAATTTAAAAACCTGAAATAATATAATATAATATATGTTTATTACAGTACTTTAAATGCAAAAGACAAAGAAAAAAGCGTGAAGGGAATTAATAAACGTCATGCTAGAAAAATGGATATGAATATATTATATACGTACTACGTGGCCAAACGTATGTCTCTCATACCAACTACCTCTTCTTTGTGTTTACAGTGGCATTATTTAATGTATTGTTTTTTAATTTCACTGAATATATGCAAATTATATGAACAATATAAATAAAATATTATGACGTGATATTTTAATAGGGCCAGTTACTCAGTTAAGAAAAAAAAAACCCTCTAAATTTAGATTAAATTACAAAAAAAATCCCATATTTTCTTAGTTACCAAAATCTTGCTGATGCTTGTTTCCATGTAATATTTCTCAAAAAAAATTTGATTTTTTACTTTACAGACGTGACATTTATTTATGCTACTTTTTAAATGTAAAAATTTCCCTTAGGAAGCCTTTACACCACGGAATCTTTACTTCTTCTTGAATATCACATTTACAACTTTTTAATACACTATACTCATCTGATGGTAAATTTTGTCTTTTAAAAAGTATTATAAAGAAATGTTCTGTTTGCAGGGGTAAAATTGATTTTTTTTTTAAAATATCAACAGAAATTAAAAAGATTTCGGAAAAAAATACACCGTAAGGGGACTAATGTAAAACGGATATAAACATTGGGATTTATTTTGATAATTGCAGATGGATAAAGGTGTTTTTTTACAATTTAACCAAATATTAGTGAGTTTTTTGTAATTTACCATTTTACCAAGGTTTAGTACCAAAAACCTAACATTATATTTTAGATTTTATTATGGAGGGATAGCTTCAATATTCTCTATTCTCAAAAAACAAAACTTCAATTCTCAAAATAGACATCCTTTATTTAATTAAGTAATACTAGCATTTTTTTTCGCATGCGCGATGCATTGGATAGCATTATCAAACGTGAAAATACTTATTGATTTAAAATATGACAATTAACAATTATAATAAATTTGTGATATTGGTAATAACAACATCAATACAAATTTAATAATACAAACTGATTGTGAAATATTTTTTCTATATACTTAATTTTCATAATATAAAATCAATTATTAAATAAATGAAATAAAGAAAAAGTAGAGAAAATATGCCGGAAGATAAGAGATAAAAATAATAAGAACAATTGAAAAGATATAGAAGTAGTGGATTATGATTGTGCTAGCCGAGAGCGTGAAAGTAATTAGCGTGCAAAAAGTGGCTCCGAAAATATATATATATATATATATATATATATATATATATATATATATATATATCATATACATTTCCCAATAATCTAACATTCTCAATACTTAAGTAAGGAAATAAAAATAATTCTCGACTATGTACTAAACATTAAATCCTTAACAATCTAATAATGTAAAAACTTAGGTAGCAAAAAAAAAAGAAAAAAAAAATAACGTTGATAGGTTTGTGCCACGTGGGTGCCTATCCTCCACCGCACGTAGTTAGGGATTTACTTAACCGGAGAGCGTTCCTCCACCGTTTGATATTCCAGCTACCAACTTAACTAACTCCATATATATATATACCCCTAAATACACTCTCCATTTCTACTAGTTTATAACAACTACATAACAAATAATATATTTAATTTAATTTGCCACCACCACCGCTGAAATTAAAACCTACTTTTCTCCGGCGAAAATGGCCGCCAGCATTGAGGATATTCGCCGGGCTCAACGGGCGGAGGGCCCCGCCACCATCCTCGCCATCGGAACCGCTACTCCGGCGAACTGCGTCGAACAGAGCGAGTACCCTGATTTCTATTTTCGCATCACTAATAGCGAACATATGACCGATCTTAAGGAAAAATTTAAGCGCATGTGTAAGTTTTATTGTTCCATCAGATTTATTTTATTTAATTCTAGAGAGAGAAAGAGTCTCCGCCGCTTCACTGAAAATAGTAAATTTTTTGCATGGTTATTTTGCTTACGTGTCAAGTAATTTGTCTATTTATATATGTATAAATTTTAATTACAGACAGCATTCGCC